TTTTTTTTTTTTTTTTTTTTTAGAAAAGCAAGAATTTATTGACCGCAGCAAAAATATACTTAGGGCAGTGAAACAAGGAAGGGCATAGAAGAAGCAGCAGGAGAGCCTGGCTGGGCTGCTCTGGCTCACTGGGAAGTCAGAGAGAAAAGGGGGCCTGGAAACAGGTTCAGGGGGTTAGCCCAGGACGAGCTGCTGCTGCCCATTGCTCCCCTGGTTGCAAGTCTCATGAGATCCCTTGGAGTTTAGAAGATACGTGCCTGTGGGGGATGAGAGTGGCACGGGTGTGCTCCCTGGAGGGAGAGCTCACCCTAAATTCCTTTCTTTATCTTGCCCCCTATGCCCACTTTATCAGAGAGTCTTATTGGCTCTCTCTTCAAAATATATGCTGACTATACACACTTGCTACCTCTCCACATGAGCCCAGCACTTTCTCACCTGGATTACTGCGTTCATGTTCTGACTCTTCTTATTCCACTCTTGCCCACTACAGTTCTTTCTCCAAAGAGCAAGTCAAGTAATCTTCTTAAAACATAAGCCATATCCCTTCCTCCTCTGCTTAAAATGCCTCCATTGACTTCCCAGTACCTTTGGGATGAAATCCACATACCTCCTGACCCCAAGCCCCTGCCTGCGTGCTGCAGAGTTTGTATCCAGCCCGAATGTAAGTGCCTGTCAGGAGAGCAGGCCTTGGTTTCCTGCTTGTAGCTGTATCCCCAGAGCTTAGAGCATTACCTAGAATCTAGTACTTTTTTAACAAAACTAAGAGCAGGAACCAGATATTAAAGTTGCCAATTTTTCATGTTATGCTAGGTTTTAAATTATATCTACGTATGAACTGTTTGTCACTTTTACTTTTTTGTTCTCTGTACACCTCTACAGAATAAAAATTTACCGATAGAAAATACCACAGACTGTCTAAGCACCATGGCCAGTGTGTGCCGAGTCATGCTGGAAACACCGTGAGTAGCGGTTGGTCTTTCTCACTTTTAGTCCTGTTGACATGGTTGTCTAGATATGAGTATGTCATATTTGTAAGGTGGAAATTTAAGCACATCCCAGGTAACCAATGTTAACGTGAACAAAATGAAAATAATGTGGCAGCTTCAGGTAACTTCTGGGTAAGGGTCCAGTCCAGCTGGTTTTCAGGTCCCTCAGACCAGGCAGACTAATTCAGACCCTTCCTAATGGGGATTTTTGTGCTTTTTTGGGTGGGGGTAGGGGAAGAGTTTGAAAGTTCTTTCGGTTTTGCTTTTCATAAACATTCTCTCTCCCTTTTCAATAAAGAACTTTGCCTTATTCTGCTTATCCTTTCCTTTCAGTATGAGTTCTCAGTCTTCACTTTTTCACCACTCGCCTGAGTTCTCCTCTGGGGTTCTCCACTCTTAGGCATTTAGGATGTCTGCCACATGGCGTCTGGCTGGACTTTCCTGTCATAGGCTGAAAGGATGGGTCCTGGATTCCCAAATAATATATGGTTTTACTAGATAACTTGTTTTGGGGAGTTTTTGATTTTCCAAAGCACTACCATTATATACTGTATTTCTGGAAAACCTTATGAAGCAAGAGGAGCTGTTCCTCCTCCTCAGTTAGGAGAGCAAGGCCCTGGAGAGCGAAGGGACCTGTGCATGGTGGCTGACCCCACACATGAACCTGGATGTCTTCATCCTGGGCCTGGACTCTTTCTGCTGGGCCATGATGCCTTTTACATAGACAGATGAGAACCTAACATCAAAATTTAGAGAATGAAAATCCAGTAATACAGTAATGTTTAGATCAAGTCAGCCCCAGACACACTTGCTCTGTTAAGAGCTAGTGACTCTTCATCATATTGGTGATAGCAGCCTTTACAAAGCACTTATTCCCAAACTTCTCCTTTGGGGCTACTTTGGATTTCTGTAAAATTGTGTGATCTCCTCTGCTAGCAGAATGGGGAATATACTGAGGTGCATATAGAGACCATAGTATGTAAGTGCTAACTGCTCCACACACCTCCTGCCTGGGAGTCCCATTGCATGGAAGAGGGGTGACTTAAAGTTAGCATCCCTCTTAGAGGTTGACAGGAGCATCTTCCAGCATCAACTTAGAGAGTTGAATCAGTTCATTAATTTGTGATGTGCCTCATCCATCCTTGTCTTTTCTCCCCTCCAGGGAATACAGAAGCAGGTTTACAAATGAAGAGACAGTGTCGTTCTGCTTGAGGGTAATGGTGGGTGTCATCATACTCTATGACCATGTACATCCAGTGGGAGCATTTGCCAAAACCTCAAAAATTGATGTAAGTTACATTGTTTTATGTAATTCCCAACAATTTCCATCATTGAAAGTCATAGGCTCTCATGTAAAGAGCTGGCGGGCTACACTGTCGCTGAGCCCAGGGCTGTATCTGTGATGTGGTGGGTCTTGGTCTCCTCTCCCCTTGCAGTGTTTCTGTCAGCCTGTATACTGGTAGGGTAGAATGACTGAAGGGTGACTGTGTTGTCTCAGAGTACATCCTTGTAGGGAAGGCTCACACTCAAAAGGAGTCTTTCTGCATATTGGGCAATATAAATAAATAAGCATAAGAAAAAAATTTTATTGTGTTCTTTCATTCCTTTTAACCAAAGGCCATTTCAAACAAAAGATTATTTCCAGATATGCAGGGTGGGGCAAAAATAGGTTTACAGTTGTGAGTACTTGAAACCCAGAGTTTATTCTTGTATTAATTATTAGTTAATTATATTATTTTCTGTATGGCCAACTGTAGACCTACTTTTGCCCAGGGAATAAAGGTGAAGGCTGCATATTTTCCCTCCTCCCGGTCATAATAGTTTGTGGGTCTAGCCTGGGTTTTTCTGTTCTGTAATTTTTCTCCCTCACATCTGGTTCATCAGAATTATAAGCAGTGTTTGGTGAGAACTGTCTTCCTGTTTCGCTTTCACAGCTCGTGCGGGCTCTCAGCATTTCCTATCTAGATTACTGATTGCCTTCATTAGTGTCCATATATGGAAAGAGAAAGGAGTTCATTTATTGAATGATTACTGTTTCCCAGGAATTTCACACTTGTTCTTTCATTTAACTCCAAAAATACTCCTAAGCTGCAAGTGTTACCTCCCCTGTGCTAATAGAGAAACTAAAATTTAGGGGAATGAAGTGATATAATTGCTAGTGAATGGTGGAGCTGGATTTTGAGCCCACACCTCCATGGCTTCCAGAGCCTGTGGATTGCTACGTGCTGTGCTGTTTCACAGTAATCCGACGCACCTTCCTTGCGTGTCATCTTCATTGACTTGTTCCCTTTTTTAATAGCCTGTAACAAATCCCTGCTGCTATCCCTGTCAGTTCCAAATGCGCCCTCCTGGCTTTCAAGGCCTCAGTAACCTCCCCTCTGGGAGTCATTTCAGTTCTCCGAGATTCTGGCCTTACTCAAGACATACTTTATTACCTTGTCGTGGTGTTCGTCTAACTGGAGAGCTCCCCTTTCCCCTGCCAGTGTCTCTGTTTCATTCTTTAAAAGGCTACTCAACACCCTTAGCTGACCCTGAGCTTTCTCATTAGTGTGGGTGGCGCTTCAGTTTGACTGATTAGGTTCTTAAAAAGTTTTGTTTGAGTGAGAAACTGAAAATAATAAAACTTGGGTAGATTTTTCTTTTTCTGTTTTAAGAATAATTACATTTCTAGTGTGTGATTTCTCATGAGTTCTGTAGTTGTGCTAGTATACTAAGTATTACTATTTTGAAAGGGAATGTTAGATGGAAAAACATGATTCACCTTTTCTGTTTTCTTTTCTCCTTAGATGAAAGGCTGTATCAAAGTTCTTAAGGACCAACCTCCTAATAGTGTAGAAGGCCTTCTCAATGCTCTCAGGTGTGTATATGGACATGTACATACGGATCGGAAGAGTGCACGTAAGAACGTGCTTCAGAGTGGAATAGCACCAAGGATGTGAATGTAAATGTTCAAGTTAGAAATGTAGAGATCTCGTTTTGCTATTGGTAATGTTGCTTCAGGCCCGTATTGCTTACTCACTCTCTCTCTCTCTCTCTCTCTCTCTCTCTCTGTGTGTGTGTGTGTGTGTGTAATGAGAATGGCAGCTCTGTTTCTTTGCTAAAGAGTTTGGTTTTTACCTTCTGCCCCTCTTGAGGCAGAGGTTGCTTATTTACAATGCAGAGTTTTTTCTTTACAGTTGTCTATGATCATTCTCCATAAAATAGTTACTTTTTCTCAGCTTAGACTTACCTGATTTATTTACTGAAGCTCCTAAGAATGACATTTTGGCCCAGTACAATGACTTGACCAATCTAATCTCTGTCTGATCTCTGTCTTAAAGGGATTTAATTGGAAATATATGTTCCCTGCCATTATAGTTGATGTCTCATTACTTGATTTTTTGTGTGTTTAAACATAAAAATTATATGAACATAACAGTACTTACACAGTGACTTTCTGAGGTCACAGTTACCGAGCTTCTCACTGCAGGCCATTGTAGTTTGCTGGTTTCCAGGTCAGTATTGTGTCCCCACAGGTTGTGGAGAATGTTTAGTCACACTGGGTTCATCATAAAGCAAAATCTAGGTTGTGTCATTTCAGCTGAGTGTAACCATCAAATAATTTTATTATGACTATGGAAAGTGCAGCGACTGCCTGAGTGATGGAGGTCTGTTCTAAATGAATGTCAGAACAATGAAGGAACAGAATATAAAAAGAAAACGTCCTTAAAATGTCAAACTGTTTTAACCATAAGCCTATCAAAAACCTTAAGTTTTTGGAAATTTTTTTACTCTGGAGGTTTTTCGTTGGTTTTACCAATATTTGCAGTATTGTGAATCTTTCCTACTCGATCCCTTTCCGAAGACTCCCTCTGTCCCTGTCAGCCAGTTTTTCTCAGACTGAGCTCTTTTCTGTCTGATCGGTGAGACTCTCCAGAGCCAGCAGGTGACAGACATCTTTTTTAAACAGTAAGAGGTAGGTGAGATCTCAGAGGTTTTAGTAGTAGTCCTTTACCTGGAAGGGACTGTGCTTCGAATATTAATTTAAAATCCAGAGTTTACTTTTCCTTTTCAGAGTTTAAAGCTAGTTCAGTCTCTTTGACTTTAGAGTCAGGGCAAAGAGGGGCAGTGGCTGGGAGTGAAAGATGCCGCGTGAGTCTGAGAGAAAGCAAGAGGAGAACCGCTGAGGCAGGAGCCACCTACTTTCTCCTCACTTGCAGAATGGAGATTGGAAAACAGGATTTGTTGCAGAGAGAACTCTTGACCTCTTTTTACTCAGTGAGCATAGTTTTATTTTTTCTTCTTTTTGGTTCTGATTTTTTCACATGCGAAGTTCTATAAGGTCAGTCAGTATACTGGTTGCCATGTCGTAGTGGTTACAGTGAGTAACGGTTTTATAGTGTCACAGTGCAGTTTCACATACATGACTTTATTTCATCTTTTCCACAGCTCCGTGAGGCAGGTGGTGGTTCTGGGGTGTTGGGTGTCTCCATTGTACAAAGAGGCACCTTAAGCTCTTGAGAGACTAGAGGATTATATAGCTAACAAATGTCGGAGTCTGTTTTCAAACTCAGAACAGCACTCTTGAAATAAGCTTGACGCTGTATCACCAAGCATTAGGTTTGCTATGTGATGGAATTTTCCTGTGCTTTGGAACCCCCTGGAGGGGTAGGGAAAAGTGCAGATTCCTGGATCACCACCTCCAGAGAGAGCCTCTTCATCAGGCCTGGGTGGGGCTCGGGCACCTTGTTTTATAAACAAACAGCTTAGCTGACATAAGTCATGCTGGTACTTTGAGAAATTGCTCAAACACCATCGGCCTGGACCTCGATATGCTCCAGTATCAAGAATGCACTCTGTCATCCCAAAAGCACTATGCACGTGTTCATTGTCTCTCACACCTCTGCACGACAGAACACATTTTTGCGAAAATATTTTCTTTTTTAGGAAATAGCTCATTTTCTAGACATGTGCATTCCTTTTTCTCAGTTTTTTCTTAGAGCCAATTGTAAATCACTAAAATTTTTAAAAGGAGGTATAATTGTGCATGTAGACACGCTGCTTATTTTGAATGCTTCCCCGTAGGGACTATATAGTTCCTTCAACTTACAGTGTGTGATTAAGAGGGAGCAACAGGTCATGCCCGCATTTTACAGGTGGAGAGATAGAACCACTTTCCTTTGATCGTACAAGGGAAAGCTAGGACTGGGCGTTAGGGTTCAGAGCTAGATGATTGCCTTCATCATGAATTGAAAGGGTAGGTGAATGACAGTTGCCTTTTTCAGTAGAACAGTCGTAGGTGCGTGGGAAAGGAGCTGCGCACAAAATGAAGTAATGCCACACACACTCACATCTCATTTTCACGTGCCAGATGTTACTGGCCTTTTCCTGATGAAAGAGTTTGGTGATGTGACACTCCTGGGTTAGCTCTGCCCGGGGAGGCTCTGGGCACCACTGGGGCCCAAGGTCGCATTCCTCACAGAGTGAGAGCTGGTGTCCGGGCCTAGAGGAAAACACGCACAGCTCTCGGCACATCACAGCACAGTGCTGGTAGTGACATTGTCAACTTTGTGCAGTAAAAATTGTGTTGTGCCTGTTACTTGGCTCTTCCCACTATGTAGTTGTGTAAAGGAAGGGAAAATTCTTATTTTGGGCATCAGTAGGATTATGTGTGGCTAAGTATACTTTATATGCCTTTGGGAAATAAAACAGAAAGCTTAAGTCTTTGCCGCATCACCCATCACTTAATGTAAGTATCTCTTTATGGATTCTTCGCTCAGCCTGGCCGCTTCCCTTCTTCCCTTCCTAACGCACACATGCTAACTGAGCACCTGTTCTGTGCCAGGCACTCTGGTGCTTGTTCTGTAATAGGGAACAATTGGGAGGTGACTTCTGAGTTAAATTATGGAGCGTTTATCAGGTTAAGCATTACCTAATAAGCATATGTTTGTCTTCTTACCTAAGCATTTACTTGAGTTCAGATAGTTTTTCAGTTTTTAGATTGATTAGAAATGAACCTAATGAGAATGGAGTTTAAATTTCTTTAACCCAGAGAGACTGTGTGTGTGTTTCTGCGTAAAATGATATAGTCCTTAAAGGAGCTATCTATGTGAAATTCTCGTAAGCCAAATGAACTGATGCAGCATTAGATTCTGTCTGAAAAAGCTCTGAAATATACCCCACATTCAAGCACTGAGCACCTGTTTCCATTGCTCCTCCTCTGGTCTGAGCGTTGGTCTCCTGGCCCCTGTAACAGCACCCGGTTGGTCCCTCTGCTCCTCCTACTCCCTGCAGCCCTCCTTTAGCCAGAGTGATCCTTTCAGGACATGAGTGAGATCTCACATTGCTCCCCTGCTTAGTATCCCACCCTGGCTTTCATTGCCCTCAGAATAATCTCCGCACTCCTCACTGTGGTCTGCAGCATCGTGTGACCTGGCCATTCCGGGTCTCCCAGTCCCTGTCCAGCGCTTCCCTCCTTTGCTCCTGGGTTACCCTTCTGGGTGTTAGTTTACTGTCATCTTCCTCTGCTAGCTTGTAAGCTCCTGGAACTGCCTGACACATAGTAGGCTTGCTCATTGGATTTCTGCTATTAAAGGAATCCTGTGGTGAATCTTTTCATAAAACAGAACGCACTCTTAGTGATTCTTCTTTAGGTTCTTAATTTGTATTTACATATTTAAAACACACCTGCCTGGACATAAGGCACCTAGAGAACTGAAACATTGGGGATGTGACAGAACTGTCCTAAGACAGAATAAATAGAACGGGGACCAGCGAGTTTTTTGTAACTGGCCAGAGAGTAAGCACATCACGTATTCAGGCTTTGTGGGCCACAGAGTGTCTGTCACAGCTACTCAGCTCTGCCATAGCAAGAAGGTAACCATAGACCACACTGAAGTCAATCAGTATATCTGCATTCCAGTAAAACTAAAACTTCAGTTTCATATGATTTCCNATTGGGGGGATGAAGGGAAAGAACCATGGAAATATTTATCAGAAAAAAAGAATTTGGGTCCAAACCATTGTAACCCAGGAAATGGAAGGGCTATTTTGTTCTTGGGCTGAAAATGTTTGAGTAATCAATTCCAATCAAGATGTAATCAATGTAGCCTATCTGTTGCTAAAAATTCTCATCTTGATCTACAGCAGCATCTATAAAAAGACCAGATAGCACATATACTTTAAGCTTTGCAGGCCATACAGTCTCTGTCACATGTAACTATTCCACTCTGTCTTTATAGTGGGAAAGCAGCCATAGACAATACTAAATGAAAGGACACAGCTGTGCTCCAACAAAATCATTTATGGACACTGAAATTTGAATTTATTATAATTTCCAGGTGCCACAAAATACTATTTTTACCCCCCCCCCCCATTTAAAAATGTAAGAATATGCTCAGCGCACAGGCCATACTAAAATAGGTAGTAGGTCCAGTTTGGTTCAAAGGCTACAGCTTGCTGACACCTAAGCTAAAACAGTAACAATTTCCCTCTGAGCGAGAAGTTACAGCCAGTTGTTTACTCTAGAATCTAACCAGATGTTTCAACCAGGTAGTTCTGACTAAGTTAAGCAGCTCCTGGCTGTTCTGTGAGAGGGTGGGAGGGTAAGCCCGCAGAACCCGAACAGGGCTAGCGCTGGGATGGGAAGCCTGGTTTTGTGAGAGGAGATTGCCCCTGGCCAGTTGCTCAGGTTGTCATTCTAGAACCTGATGCAGATGATGTGGTGTGTTTTTAATTCCCTAAAATTGGTGTTTTTTCACTTTTAGGTACACAACAAAACATTTGAACGATGAGACTACCTCCAAGCAAATTAAATCCATGCTGCAATGACCCCTCTGGGACGAGCACCTGCTGTCAACGGGAGACGGTTCTGCAGTGGCCCCGGATGCACAGTTTTAGTGATTGCAATTACTCTCATTTACTCTCGCTTTTATTTCCTCCCTCTGTCCCTCTGCCCTCTTTTTTAATCATGTTCTTGTTCTTAAGACTTCTTTTCTGTGCCAAAATCAGTCAAGTTATCCTCTGAAGGGACGCTGTCCTTTCTAGCGGGCCATCTAAGGCAGCTAATTATGCATTGCATTGGGTCTCTACTGAGAGAAATTCTGTGACTTGAACTAAATATTTTTAAATGTGGATTTTTTTTGAAAACTAATATTTAATATTGCTTCTCCTGCATGGCAAAACTGCCTATTCTGCTATTTAAAAACCCTCAATGACTTTATTTTCTACTGCCGCTTTTTTCATGTGCAGCCAAATGAAAATGTTTAAATTAACTGTGTTGTACAGATGGTACCCAACACACACTTTTTTTAAATTAGTAAGACTTTTGTTTAAAGTTTTAAGTTTGCATTTTGACTTTTTTGTAAGGATGTATGTTGTGTGTTTAACCTTTATTAACTAACGTTAAAACTGTGATGTGTGCGTAGAGTATTACGTATGCATGTTCATGTTTAAAGAATGGCTGTGATGATGAAATAAAAATCAGCTTTCATTTTTCTAAGTGTGGCTTGGTTTATTGAGGTTTGGTTTGGGGCTTCTAAAGCTCTCCCCATGTATATTTTTATGAAATGAATATACACATTACATAATTTCCCCTCTTTTAGGAGAGAGCTGTGTCTTTTTAATAGTATTTTTGTTTTCTATTGTCTGTGTGTACCCAGTTTTCATTGCTTTCAAAACCTTGCTAAGTGCAGTAAGACCAATGGTTGACTTTCATCCTTGCCTTACTTTGTGTGGATGTAGTATCAGGAAAGCTCCACTCTTGCTTGATTTGCATTTCCCAGGAGCGAGGGGGTAGCAGCAGGACACAGAGTGAGGGAGGAGAGCGGGTGAGGGGCCTTCCCAGGAAAAGCTGAAGGCCCTGGTCTCATGAGTGGGACAAAACGAACATGTTTGTCATTTTAAGACCCTAAAACCTTAATTTGTGAAATCCGAGTGTGCATATGGGACAAGCTGCTTAAAGGGTGTCTAGTCCATCCATGCTGGTGATTTAGTGAGAAGAGAGCCTGAGCTCGGATACCATCAAAAGGGTTAACGGTGGAAGAGTCCCGGAAGCCTCCATCCACCGGGCTTAATAACAGCGCCAGGTCGGGAGCCCATGGCCCTCTGGCGGCGGTCCTGCGGCCTCGCTGCCTGCAGCCCAAGCTCCCACTCGTACCTCTCTGAGGCAGCCTCCCCGCTTGCTGCTCAGATTGTTGCATGCGGCATCGTACATCCGTGTCTGGCGGGGGGCCCTGAGCCCGTCATCTTCCTCCCTCACGTCTGTCTGACGAACAACGCTTCTTCGAGGACCAGTCTCAGGGATAACATCAGCCACGTCTTTCTGAGAGAATTGTCCTGGGTTCAGTCGTGAACCTCCAAAGGTATGTCTATCCGCAACCTGCAGATGTGACCTTATAGGAGGTCTCTGTGGCCTCTGTGGTTCACCGGGTTCAGGGAGCATGGGAGAACCCCAACTCTGCCCTGGCCTCGCCAGCTAGTCTGCCGCCAGCCTGCCCAAACCACCTGTTTTTGTCCAGCCTCTGGACAAATAAGAGTTTTTACATTTTTAAAAAGGTTTATGTATTAGTTTGGGCCACTTCTGCCCCACAATAGTAGAATGGAATTCTTGTGACCGGGGCCATGTGGCCCTCAGAGGTGAAAGTATTTCCTATCTGGCCCTTTACAGAAAGAGTTTGCTGGACCCCCTCCCCCCCCCGGCCCAATTGCAAGAGCAGGTTAATTTGAGAACTGAATGTTGATCTTAAATGTTATCACCACAGAATAAAGGGTAGTTATGTCAGGTGATGGGGTAACTAACCCACTTGTAATCATTTTGTAACATATACGTGTATAGTTGTACACCTTAAATTTACATATGATATATGGCAATAATAACAAAGCTGAGGAAAAATAAAGTAAAACACAGCTTCCAGGTTCTCCTTCAGAAAATCTGATGCAGAAGATACAGGGCGAGGTGAGGGGCTCCGAGTTTCCACAAGCGTCCCAGGTGATTCTGCTGCAAGGGGTCCCCAGGCCACCCTAGAAAAGCTGCCCCACCTGGCTGGAGGAGGGAGTGTGGGGGCCGCGGGTGGGGGATGTGGGAGACTCCAGCAGGGACACCCTCGGCTCTGCTGAGCTGGCTCCTTCCCACCAGACATTCTTCACGTCGCAGATGGTGATGAGAAGGAAACCTTTCAAGATTGTGAGTTGGGCAGGTTCTCTGCTTGGACCTCAGGCTCTGCTGAGCCTTGACTCCCATTTGGGGATTAAATGGAAAGCCTGTGTGTGTCCCCAACCCAAACCAAGGGTGCTGTAGAGACCCAGGGAGGTCTCAATACTGTCATCAAGGGAGGGCCAGAGGAAGGTTAGGATATGTTAAAAATTCGTGGGTGATAGGATTATCAACTGGGGATTAGAATTCTTAATTTTTGTAGATATGATAATGCATATAGTGATTATGCAAGAAAATGTTTTGCTTTTTGAAGGGGTGTCTACTAAAGTATTTGGGGATAAAATCATGATATCTACACTTTAAAATACTTCAGTGAATAAAGTGTACATGAAACACAAACTTACTTGAAGCTCAACAATAAAGAAATACACAATTCCATTAAAAAAACGGGCAAGGACTTGAATAGACATTTCTCCAAAAAAGATGTACAAATGGACGACAAGCACATGAAAAAGTGCTCAACATCACTAATCATAAAGGAAATACAAATCAAAACCACAATAAGATACCATCTCCTACCCACAGAGATGGTTGCTATAAAATAAATAAATAAATAAATAAATAAATAAATAAATAAATAAAATCCAGAAAACAAATGTTGGTGAGGATGTGGAGAAGTTGGAATCCTTTGTGCTCACTGTTGGAATGTAAAATGATACAGCGACTATGGAAAACAGTATGACAGTTCCTTAAAAACTTAAACCATATGATCCAGGATTACCATATGATCCAGCAATTCATTCCTGGGTATCCATCTAAAAGAATTGAAAGCAGGGTCTGGAAGAGAGATTTATACACCCACCTTCACAGCAGCACCAGTCACAAAAGCCAGAAGAGGGAAGCAACCCAGTGTCCGTCCATGAAAGAAGGGATCGACTAGTTGTGGTCTATTCGTTTAATGGAATATTATTCAGCTTTAAAAAGAAAGGAGACTCTGACATATGCTACAACATGGGTAAACCTTGAGGACGTTATGTTAGGTGGAGTAAGCCAGACCCAGACAAATCCCGGGTACGAGGCTGCTGGAGGAGTCAGACTCACGGGAACAGAAAGTAGAATGGTTGCCAGGGGTGTGGGTGGGGAGCTGGAGGGTGGATGCGGAGTGTTGGTGAATGGGTGGAGAATTTGGCGAGACGGGAAAGTTCAGGATATTGGTTGCACAACACAGTCAAACTCAGAAAGAAGGTGGTTGCCTGGGGCGGGGGCGGGGGAGGCTGGGTGATTGACCAGGATTTATTGTTTACTGAGTAGGGAGTTTAAGATTTGCAGGATGAGGCTCTGAGGTTAGTTCCCTAACAGTGGGACTATAGTTAACACTATGGACCACATGGTTGGACAGTAAGTTTTATGTGTATTTTACCACAATTTAAAAGAAAACACCTTACTTGAGTACTTTAGGAATACATTACCTCTGTAAAAAACAAGCAAACAAACAAAAAAACAAGTGAGTAAGTGAAATAAAGAGAAAAAAGTTTAATTGGTGATGGTGTTTGCAACTTGACAGCAAGGGCTTCACTGAGAAGTGATTTTTGAACTAAAATTTAAACTGAAACAAGGGGAAGTGAGCTGTGTTGCTATTTTGGGAAAAAGATTCCAGGTAGAGGAATTAGCAAGTGCTTAGACTGTAAAGGCAGAAATTCCTGGCATAGGAACAGGTGGGATGAGAGAGGGTTCATCAGAAAGTGAGAGCAAGTTTGTGCAGGCCCTTGTTGACCATTGTCATGACTTTGTTCTTACTTGCAGTGGGATTGGCAGGTACTGGAGAGGTCGGGGATCACCAGTGGGATATCTGATACATCTCTTGAAAGGATGCTGTGTTTGCCGTGTGGACAGTAGACACAGGAAGAGAAGTAGGGGTCTAGTTAGGGGATTGTAAGAATCCAGGTAAGAGTTGAGGGTGTTGGCCCCAGAAGGGATAAGAAGAGATCAGGACCTGATCTATGCCGAAGGTAGACTCAACATCTGTAGGAGTGGTGTGACGCGGCTTCTTTTATCTCTGACACTCAGAGCAGATCGGGAAAGTAATTCTGGAATGGGATGGTCGAGAGGGAGTGAGGTGAGCCTGGGAACCTAAGGAGTGACAGGTGCTAAAGCAGCAAGAAGTGAGCTAGAGGAGCAGTGAGCGGTGGTGAGGCCTGGAAACCCAGGGAAGAAATTCTAGAAACATTGGTCACCGAGAACATGTAAGGACAGCGTATTTTCCATTAGTTTTCCATTTATTAAAATGAGTATTGTCGGTGTCCCCACACTGAAACTAAGTCTGTGGAGTCGGGGGACTCTGTCTCGCTAACCTTGCTAACCCCAGCACTAGAATCAGGACAAAGTGTAAAAATGTAGACCCCAAACCTAGAAACTAGCTGGCCCACTGGCTGGCTCAGCTAGGGGAGGGCTCTGAGAAGCTTCAATTATTCTGTATAAGAAAAGGGAGAGAGAATGTGGGAGAGAGCAGAAGCCACGAAGCTACATGGGGGAAACTTGTAAGGCCTTGGGGGCGGGGT